GATTATGTAAAGCCTGGCCCTTTGCTGCCTGAGAACTCCGGCGAGTCCCCGGCTCGAAACCCTCCGCTTCAAATTGCTGCCGATCATCTTCATATTTTTTTTCTTCTCAAACTATTGAAATTGTGAAAATTTTGAACCGAAAAGAACCTTTTTGTTTTTTGTGAGGTGATTTTGATGAAGTTCTGAAGATGTGTTGAAGAGTGTGTTCTGTTGTTTTGGGTCTCTTTTTGGGTATTGCAAATGATGTTTATATAGGGGCGTGTTTGGGAATGGTGGATTGAGATTGGTCGAGTAAAGAGTAATCTGTGGGGGTCTGCAGGGGCGTGGTGTGTCCCCTCCCACACTGGACACTATTTTCTGACCGTGGGTCCCACTTCACAACTTGGCCAATAAAAAACGAAAATATAATACTAGAAATTCTAGTCTAGAATACAATGGAATTCCATGGATGACATTTGTTTTTTTTGGTAATTTGAATTTTAAATGCAAATTATTCCAACAATCACGAGACAATGCAACCTTTNAGGTGTGGTTTTTGTTTTTTTTTCTATGAGTAATGACTAATGGTTAGGATTTAGGCGGCCATGTTCTTTCGATGTATTGACAATACGTGTTCACTCAATAAAATATTATACAAATAAAAATATGTCATTTATTAAGATAAATATGTATCGCTTATAAGAAAGTATGATTATTTAATGATTTAGACAAAAATTTTATAGAGTCATCGGATAGTTTTCTTATAGAGCCATCTACTTAATGTATTGACACCTGTCCAAATTGTATTTATTGCAGGACACGTGTCAATACACTATTGGTCAATAAGTGTGGATGATTCCATAAATCGAACCATCCGATGACATTAGCATTTACATTTTTCTTTAGATGAAAAAAAAATTAAAACACATTAAATGATGTATCAAGAGGCACAAAAAAGAAAAATCAGCACAAAACTACTAGAATTGTTAAACAAAATAAATCAGATGTGAGCTTGACTCGACTCATTTGATTCACGATTTGGTCTCGAGCTCATTAGCTAAAAAATATGAAATTTCATGTAATTTTCTGTAGCTTGTGTCATTATGATTTGAACTTGACTCGTTAATAATTCGACTCGATAAAGACTCGAGTCTGAGCTCGAGTATTAGAAGCTCGAAATTAACTTTGCCGGTTAATTAACACCCATAAAAGCACCTAAAAGATGGGAGTGCTATGAGAAACTATTGTGAATTTGTGATATAGTAATAGTGACGTACCACAACCACTTAATCTAACGTAAATTGTGAAAACAATATACAATGCGATTACCTATTAGCATACTGAAGTTCAAAATTGTATTTAAAAACACGTAACAAGTGGAAATCAGAATGTTCAAACTATTTATTTTGGTATTTCTAATTATTTAATCACCAAATTATTATACCTTGTCGTGAATGCATGTATAGCAATGTGATTATGGGTATACGTATTTTATATTTGTAAATTGGTCTAATACGTAGGGCTTCAATATATACGTCTATACGCCTAGGTTTTACCAACCCAACACAATGGGTCGGCCATTACTTGAATTAGGTAACAATTTTACGTATTTTATGAGCTGCCTGTAATAATGTCCATGATAGGATATTGATTGGTTATTTTTATTTTATTTTAATTTTGAGGTGATTATTTTATTCTACTTCTTTTATTTTATTATGAGAGTTAATTTGGATCCTACTAACTAAACATGGCACAGTTAAGTACCTTTTTATTGAGCTTTAATGATGATAATTATATATATAATCTGAATCTCTTTATTATAGGTCATCTTCATAGGATGATAGGTCAATTTGATTCTCAATTAGTATTATATAAAATGTCATAATTGATACTCGATCTATGATAATGCACTTTATGACTTTATATCCTCTCTAGCCTCTAGGTAAAGTGCATTATTAAGTTAAGTTCATGATTGTTAAGTTCATATATACAAAACAAAATTAATCTACATATGGAATAAAGAGGTTCTCATGCAATATATATTGACAAAATGAAATTTTGAGTCCCAAATGTCAGAAATATATGGGGCAACATATATATTCAATAAGTTCATTCTATTGAGACACACTCAAAAGGATCAAAATAAAAGTCATTGCCCCACGTGAATTACAGATTATCGTGCCTTATTCTTGTTTTCTGTTTTTCTCAATAAAACAAGGAAAATAGTAATTTTATTTTTTAAAGCAGTGATCATCTGGACTACAGTCACTATTTGCGATGACCTTTTTCCTTTTGGTTACTAATTTTCAGCTCAAAGCCCAACTGATGGACTATTGTAACTGCGATTAATAATTAATTAATCTAACATGTAATTAAAAATGATCAAATTAAATCCTTTTGTAGACCCACTTGACTGTCTCGTGTTCCTCCCATAGAGCTAATCAATGTATTATGTACTAGAGTCGTGTTTAAATAATCTTAAAGAATATTTAAATACATGCTAATTAAAAATTATTAATTTTAGTTGTATTTAATTTAGTATATTAAAAGCATATACTGTTCACTAAATACGTATCTCGCACGTTCGTGAAACTGTATACCAAATTAAAATTCGAACGTGAATGCCATTAATTTCAGTAAATAATTAGTCATCCAAACACGAGCAAATAAAACATATTATATAAACCAATGTCTTTACGAACCTATTATTTCACAAATTATTGTAATTATTATTATTATCTTCTTTTTCTTTAGTATACCATGACAGTGATGCATAATGGGCCTAAATGCAGAAACAAAGGAATTAACAATAAGAAAGCCCACAGAAAGAATTGGGACATTCAATTTTCAAGTTGATCATGGAGGCGAAATGTTTCAATTATTAAATTTAAAAATTTTCTACCATAATTAAATAATTTCAAGGCCACCACCAGTTTATAATAATAATAAAAAAAAATACGCCTAATTAAGAAAAAACAATTAAAAAAAAAAATAGACAAGAAAGGCTCGAAAGTCTGACCGCATGTGAATATCACGTGGTTCATATAGCTGTTGCTCCTCCTATTCTCGACATGGTCTAATTAATTAAGAAATTTTAAACTATTTTAATCTTATTCTACTAATATCACAGGTCATTGACTAGTCTAAGCATATTTTTATCTGAAAATGAAATCACATATATTTAGAAAGAAATAGGGTTTTGAATGAATTAATGACGGTATGAAGTCGACTATTGTACGTAATGATGTTAATTTATTAGACTAGCAGTTGTAATCTGACATGTGGACCGATTTTTTATAATTATCCAGATAAAAAATTGAGTTTATGACTCAATGGTAGTGTCCAGATAGCACAGTTGCTATTAAATAATTAATTTAATTAGTTACTTGGGTTACATTATTAGCTAAATAAATTTGCATATAGCATGTGGTTGCCATTAATATCTCACTCCAATGCTAAAAGTTATGAAGTGTTAAAAAAATCCCAGATTAACGAGTAATGAAAAAGAAATGAAAAATGACATCCACGTGGTCATTTATAACACACATTTATAATATGTTAGATTAGACAGATAGAACCGTGATAATTTTGGCACAAAAATTCTTATTAATTTATAAACCCATCTAATTAATTGTTAAACCTATCTAACAGTAGCTCAATGATTATTATAAACAGTAAAAAATATGAAAACTACATGCTAATATACAGAAATAAAATAATTTGCCATTTCAAACATGAATTAGCTTTTAGATTTTCCTCTTTATTGGTAAAAAAAATTGTCGAAGTTCTTAAAAGTCATTCGACTACACAATCATATCGTCGGTTTGTTTCTTTTTATGGTTAAAGAAAGATCCATGAAATGCAAAATTGAGCCGAAACGTGCTGTAATTTAGCTACAGCAAATATTAACTAAGCGACCATGATCATAACATTGGGCCTCCAATAATATTATGCAGCCCAGTAGCCGCCAAGCCCATTAACAAATTGGTAACGAGACAACAGAGGCTAAATTACGTAACTGCGTAGTATAGAAAAAGAGTTTATGAAAAAACCAACTACTGAGATCATTTAGTAAATTACAGATTAGTTTTCTAAAATACGTAAAATTAATAACTGCTCAAATTTAAATCATTAAACAACATAATTTATTTTTACACCAACTGAATATATTTTTGTATATACACAAATCACCATTTAAATCACTAAACAACCGAATTGTTTTTACATCAACTTAATATATTTTTATTTACACAAATCACCATGCAGATGAACAACTAAAAAAAAATTAAAACACACTACCAATGAACAAATTTTTTTTTTTAAAAAAAATAGAATACGCTACCAATTCGCTTTAACATATATAAAATATAATGATTGAAAACAACCATTATGCAACTACCCATTCACTCATTAGAAAACGAAAATTCACTCCATTGATACCCAACGTTCCCTGTCCAACAATTTTCACAATTTCACAATCTCAAAAAAAAAATAAAAAAATCATTGATTTCTCCTTCGACGACCTCTGCCTCCCACTCTCCGACGCCTCGACCACCACTTCGAGCCCACGCTATTCCCAACACCACGCCCATGACCTCAGCAAACTAGAAATCGACCACTAGTATTTATCGAACACGACGAGGGGAGACCTCCCCGATTTTGTCGATCGCGGCGGCGAACACTAGGGGTGGCCGAGGAATTTGCACCACGACGGTGGCGGTTTCATGAGGTGAAGAGAGAAAAAATTGAGAATGCATAGGGTTGCCAATTAAGAGAGAATCAAGGGATTACGTTTGGCGAGGAGAAAATAAGATGAAGAAGAAAAAAGAAGATGAACAGTCATAATTTTAGAAAAAAAATCTTTAAAAATATTTGACAATAAAGGTAGGCAATAACTGTCTTGAAAATTGATGAACCGGCTTATCACTAAAACCAATAAAGAGGAAAATAAATTTATAAAAATATATATACCAAACATAAAGAATAATAATGACTTGTAAATAAATAAATAAATAATAAACCATCGCAAAAGACGCCATTTTGTCAGACAACAGATAGCAGAGTGCCAGAGACCACAGGCCCTATCTAAAACTCTCCATTTTAAATTGCATAAACACACACAGTAATTCTTGATACAAATCTATTAAATGCATTTTAGCAATATGTTTTCTATCAAATACTTAATCAAGACTCCGAGATGAAAACTGATGACTTCACAACATTTACAATAAAATTAAATGGTCCAAATGTAATTATTTATATATTTACAAAAGTTATTTATTCCTCCCTAGGGATCCACCTGCTCCACCATAAGCTCTTTCGACGCCGGTTGAGCTCGTCCACACTCTCGTTTATAGTTCGGATAATCTTCCTTTGCACACGAAGAGCCGATGCAAGTGCGTTCCTCTGTGCGCTCGACTCTTTCTTCGGCTCGATTTCCTGCACGTTTTTTGCGTGCAGAAAGAATATTAAAATTTAGTTTTATCCAAAAGCATTTGAATATCACAAGGGTATACGATCAAGAAGTAGAAGAATTGACTCTTGAAAATTACAAAAAGAATATTTGCGAGGGTGTGAGTCCATTTACAGTTTGTCCAAACTGTTACTTGGCCAAACTTCAGGGAATTTGCTGAATTCATCAAATATTTTACGAATAAATCCTTCAACTTTCAAACATATAAAAAATAGCCCCTATTTTCTGGAGTGATATAAAGCAGAAAGGCAGAGTTGAGGCTATTTGTAACACTAAACAATTGCTACATGCTAGATGAATGTAACCTTGACAGTGGTTTTAGTACTTCAAAGTTATCAATTGTGTGTGTGTGTGTGTGTGTGTTTTTAAAATTTGACCAATCCTCCAGGGTCGTTTTTGTAATTATCCCCAAACACGGAATTCCATTCTCTCTCAAAATTACAAGCACCCCTTGAGGATTGTTTCAATTTTGCAAAATTGCACCCTTCAAAGGTGAAAAAATGGGGTATTTGTAATTTTGAAAACTTATTCCAACATTTCTGCCACTATCTGCAATTTTTTTCCAAAAGATAATAATATATATAAACACAGACCTTCAATTCCTGCAACTGAGCCTCCGTAAATCCACCATCTCTCTGAGTTCCTGATTTAGCCATAAGCTGAATGATCCACTTGGCTGCCTCACTATAATCCTGCTGTGTGGCCCGAAAAAGCTGCAGCCTTAGGCTTTGCATGAAGGACAAAGCCAGCAGGCCTTCTTTATCAAAAAAGGGGTGGGCTAGGGCCGCTTTAGCGCTGGGCCTCTGACGGGCCTTGTACCGGACCATGGACTGCAAGAGCTCCCAGCCTATGCCCCCATCCAAATCCAGCAACTCAAATCCTCGCCTGAGATCACTGCTGGCCCGTGGGCCCACAGTTTTTCTCCACTCGGTTAAGTCATAATCGCATCTTTTGAGTTGACGGTTGAACTGTATAAGCGCACTGTCTGTACGTAATGCAGGGAATGCCTGCATGAAGTGTTCGAGTGAGGATGTTAAATTACAAATGTGCCCTTGAGATGGTTAAGGGAAAAAATAATCTGTTTAGTAATGTAGTAAGTATGGAGAAAAATCCATCTTCGCGTATATATTTGAAATTGGATATTTTTAAATAAGTTAACTCACTCACCATTTGTAGAAATATGAGGCCAGCACTGTAGATGTCGAATCTGTCGGGAAGATTCAACTGGTTGAAGGCGTAATGTGTCAAAAAATAAAAGAAAGAATCAGATGTTTACATTTATGGGAGTCCCGGATTTTCAAAAGCTAGCTTTTTGTAAGGGAGAATTTAAAAGGAGGACCTGCCAAAGGACAGGGGAAAGTGCAGTTGCAACGGGAGCTGATGGAGCAGACGGAGTTTGAGTGCTCATTATGTATTGTTCAGGTGCAGCATATCTGAAAGCAAATAACAAATCGAAACATACTCCTAATATTTAAGTTGGATAATGATGATGAAAGCGAAAAAATACAGAAGATTAATAGGGCAAAAGACTAAAGTATCCTGTGTGAATCTTTTCAGTCCCTCAATATGCTTAACGTATAGGAGAAGAATAATTCACAGCTGTAACAATTTTATCACCGAATTTTTAGTCTCATTACAAAAGATCATCCACCAAAACTAAAGCGACAATTTGACTTTTGTTAACTAATACAAACATTAAAGGGTGTTTTGGCACTAAGGAGGTATTAGCAATTCTAAAAGTTCAACACTTATTTTTGTAATTAGACTAAACATCAGGGTAGTTCTGTAAGAATTCCCAGTTCAATTTCTCGAGTTACCAGAAACTAATGCTGCAAAATGTAAAAACGTTACCTAGGATCCAATAGAAATTCTTTGGGAATGTAATTGATGCCAACTCTCAAATCAGCAGCAGCTCCAAGATCAATAATTTTAAACGTACGGGAACCTGTTTTTAAATCTCTTATTAAGAATAACTTTGAAACATAAACAGAAGGAAGTTGACAAAACAAGATTGCCACAGAAATTATAAAAAAAAATGGTCACCTTCAGAGAAAATAATGTTTTGGGGCTTAATATCCCTATGAACGATCCCAGTCGAGTGCAGACCATCTAATGCAAATAAGAGCTGTCGCATAACTGTCTGTATGATTTTATTTTCTCTCTCTATCCCCTTTGGCAGGTCCTGGACCTCTCCAAGAATCATTGCCTCTACCTGATGATTACAAACATCAAGTTGTTAATTTTCTATTTAAAAAATTTATCCTGCACTTAGAGAATAAAACATAATATTTTGATATTTTCTATTTAAGTGTTCACGTCATTTTCGGTCGAACTTCGAAACCTTTTTCATTAATTCTAAACATAATATTTTGATATATTCAAAAAATACAATAACTAAACTTACAAAAAGGTAGATCAATCACTTTGTCATATAATGCCATATGTTTGAAACTTCTAAAATGATGATTATTTTGAGATGGAGGAAGTTGCAGTATGGATTATAATTAATATGAAATACATGGAAGTACTGACATTGTAAGGAAATTCTTTGCTCTGCAACAAATCAGCTAGTGTGGCTTCTCCTTCGAACTTCCATATTAGCCAATATTCGGCTCCTTTCTTTGCAGAACTCTGAAATAAATGAAATTAAAAATTAACGAGCTACAGAATTTTGGGAAAACTAACTGTAAGATAACAGCTGAATCAGTTTCCTATAGCAAACCTCAAGAAATCCATACATAAAATCGGCACAGCTATTTGCGCATGCCCTCCGGACACGCTCGTTCATCCATATCTCCACTGCCCCATACTCGGTCGCTTTTTTCAAAACTATGTCCCCATCCTATTCATACAAAGACGAAATTCGGCAAAATTAATAAGTTTGACCAACACTTCTCGGTTTCTACACACATATCAAATCCAAAATTATTATACTTATGGCAGTCAGGGAAAAATCTAAGAAACTGAAAGGCCATCTGTAATGTAATGCAGTGCTAACACGACTGATTTACGCACCATATCTTAATGTGACAATCTTACAATCACTGAACTTAAATCGGAAGCTTTAACTAAATTCTAAGATTTATTATACAAGAGTTTCCGATAAATACATACTCTAGAGGAAGGCTTTTTGGTCAAGGAGGCCCGATAAACCACTCCAAACGAGCCCTCACCCAACTTCTTCCCCAGCACAATGTCATCCTGCAATCACACTACAAATCAAAACCCCACAAAAAGCCACTATAATATCACCCATCAAAAATCCAACAGCGCAACATAAACAAAATGGATAATTGCAAGTAACACCCTTACAATCATCACAAAAAACATCCCCTTTTAGATTCAATCGAACAAACACGAGCATAATCTCAAAAGCCCAAACCAAAATTTTACAGACCTTTTTGTAAGTAGGCCTAAAGAGCCTCTCAACAAAGGCGAGAACAAACATATCAAAGAACCCAGGCGCCACACCAGGGGTAGCCCACAGGTACGAAAGAGCGCCCATAGCCAAAACCACGCCGGGCACAGTCAGCGTAATCCCGTCAGACCTCGGGAGCGTGCTTCTGTATATGATGTCGCCACACTCCATGACCGTACAAGGGAGCCCGACGCCAACGCCCAGGAATAAATCATGGACGAAGCTGAAAACCTCGCCGCCCGACGCGAGAATCACGAGGTTTTGGGGGCTTGAACTGGATATTTTCCGGCGGGCTACTGCCCTGAAATTGAGCTTCTTGCCGAGAAATGAAGAGCGTGGGTTTGATCTGAAGGGGTTGAGCTCAACTCCTCCTAACCTGAGAGTGCCGGCGCCGACTGCGGCCATTGGGAAATTGGGAAATGAGAACAATTTGTTGCCCTAATTTGATTTTGGGTTAAAGGGGTTATCATCAATTTGTTCTGCTGCTTGATTCCATTTTTGTGTATTGGCCTGCAAATGTTGGTACTGTTGAGTGTGTGTACTGTGTACTCGTTGCTTTATATTGTGAGGTGGGTTTTGATATTTTGTTTTTTCAATTTTTTTCTTTTTTTCTTTTTAAAAAAAAAAAAAAATGCTGTGGAGTATTTAAATTGACTGTTAATTTAGGTATTTTTTGTGGAGGGAATGGATTTGATGGGATGGGAATGTAATATAGGCCACAAGTGCAAGTGCACCGTTGGGTAGAAGCATAGAAAATACAATAATCCGATTAGAATAAAATTATATATGACCCCTACTCAGTCCACGTCTTAAGGGTCTCCTTGTTTGGGAGAAGAAAAAGCACGGTAACCTCTAAATTTGAAATATAATCTCCTACTCGCCTCCTAGCTAAGCATAGTCGATTTGAGGTGTGAAGTTTTTGGATTGGTGTTCTTAGCAGAGGTCGGGCTCTTCTTTGTCGACCATCTTCGATTTGTTGTCTTCGGATGTTGTAGTGTAGGGGATATTAGAAGATGGTCAGGGCTTCATTGTATCAATTAGGTGTATGTCTGTGTAGTTGGTTTGTTTACTTTTTCTTTTTAGTCTTTTTTTTTTTTTAATTCAATTATGTTTGACTTTAGTTTCCTTCATGGAGTAGTTTAGTATCATTTTTGGAGTTTGTTTGTACTTTGTATCATCTTGGTCATATGTGTAATTTCAGTGAAGGTGGATACAATCTTTGTACTGGATCTGGTGCTGTCTGTTGACACCTTGAGTGTAGTCATTTTCAGTAATTATTTTCATCTAATTTATAACTAGTACGGTATCCATCCGTGTACTACACATGTGTTTAATAATATATTTGTTAAAGTTGAAAAAAATAAATAAGGAACAATACATAACAATTTATAATAAAGAACTACGTAAATTAACAATATTATTTTAAATTTTGAAAACTATTTTAGATACATAGTTAGTTTTATTTATACAATATTTTTTTAAAAACACATAAGAGAATAATATGACAAAACACAAATTTTGGAAAGTGAGATAATATGCATTTTATAGAAAGAAGATAATAAATAGAGTTATATGGAATAGTTTAAATATGTATATTTATGACAATCCAAACCTAATCTATTTGGTATAAAAAAAAGTTGTAATTTTTTGTCCGAGACATATTACAAAGCGTAATATTTTGTCACATAAGATTACAAAGCATGCGAAGTTGCCACTTAGGCTCAACCTATTCTGTAATTATATATAATGGGGATAAAGAGGCATGTGAAATGGGTTTATTAGGAATTTAGCGCGTGATTTGATTATAAAATATAACTGCTTTTTATTAGATAATATTTTATACTGTTTAACTCAAAATTCAACTCAAATTTAATCAAACCCAACTCTTTTCAATATTAATCAAAACCAACTTTATTTTACTATTTATCTACTCACATATTTTTTATTTCTTATCATTTCCAATAACTTCTATCTTTGGAATTCTTCGGAATTTTTTGGTTGGAACCCCATTTGCCATGGTCGACTCTTTGGCTTTTTGAACGGACCCACAGACGGTGCCGAAATGTTAGTGAAATGGATTTCACCCGGGCTCCTTCAACTTGGACGGCCCCCTGTACCTGCAAGAACTCAACGCTGGGAGGGGTCCCGGCGTCGAGCTTCCGATGCCTAAGTCAGCACTTGCCAGAGATAAAGTGCAATATGAGAGTATAGTAGTGAATGTAGAGAGAGTGTGTTTTTGGGATACCTTAAGCACTTATTATATGGGAGGTCTCAGTGCCCAATTTTTCCTTGAGCAATATCATTATGACATGTGTCCTAGCCCATATGTAGGCTTATTCCCCAATATATTTCTTCTTATCCATTAAAACTGGTCTAGTATGATATTCCATATCATCTAGGCCCCCCCACTCTGGTTGAGTGAGCATAACTCGATCCAAGAGAGGAAGCGTCCTCTGGCTGTTTTCGTCAACCTGCCACTGAGGTTATAATTTGAATAAATCCTCGAACACCAAATAGTCACAAAATGAACATCACATGATATGCATGACTTCCGAATAGTCTGAATAACCATCAAATGAATCTAATGACCACCAAATGAACACCAAATATCCTGAGTTACTACCGAATAACCTCCAAATGAGCACTAAAAGACACCATCTTTCACTGAGGTCGAAAACCGCATGACCTATTAATGAGGTTGAAAACCGAATGACCTTCCACTGAGGTAGAAAACCAAATGACTACTGAGGTCAAAAATTGAAAGACCTATCAATAAGGTCGAATACCAAATGACCTGCCACTGAGTTAGACAACCGAATGACCACGGAGGTCGAAAACCGAAAGTCCTGTCAATAAGGTCGAACACTTAATGTTCTCATTTTATTCAAAACTATTTCATTTTAACCAATAAATTTAATCAAAACTTGTTTTATTTATATCTAATTAGTTTGAGTAGGTCAGGCTTGATTTAATGAGATTGAGTCTGCATGTCCACATATCTCGTCGAGTTTGTATATTGTATTGAATGATAAGATTTGCAGGTAAGAACTTTAATTTATATTAGTAACAATTAACATCAAATTGTTGTATTAATGTGGACACAAATGTATATACACGACTAAAAATAGACTGCAGAGCTAGATAGATGCCGTTGAGTGAATTGGGCCGCTTGTGTCAATTATGCCCAAGGGACTTTTTGGATAAAAATTTCACATACACAATATTTTTGTTTACACATTTTGCACTATAAAATTGAAACAATGGAGATTACATGTGGTCTTGGTGGTGGTGATGGATAACTTGAACAGACGAGGCTTTAGTTTACTTGGCTCATTTTTTTAGTGTGTTTTTTGTGTTTATATTTTTTTTAGTCTCCATATGTGGGAGTTTGTTCGTTTTTATTTAGTTTGTATTTTGTGTTTTCAGTTCTAGGCTTATGTTGAAGTAGACCTCTAAGATTCAGCTTAAATAAATCCGACTATTTACATATAAAATTTTGATTTAACTTGTAAAAGTTCGAACTTTAACAGCTAATCGAGCTCATTCATTAAACGAGCCGAGCAAAACTTGTTTGCGAACAATTCATTTTTCATATTTGTTTTAAATGAAACAATTGAGTCGAAGATGTTCGCAATGAGCTCGTTCAAACTTACTCGAGCTCAAACAAGAGCTACTCAACTCAAATAACACCCTTAAATATAAGGTTAGATAGATGTTGTGGACTTGTTAGAGTGAAATGTGTCCAAATGACTTTTGCTACACATTTTTTTTTTTGGTATAAAGAAGGAGGTCAAAGGCCTAGAAAAAGTTTAGACTAGAACACGCCGGGGATAGGACACCCCCATAAGATTATGATCAAGCCATGGCCCTAAGCCACCAGGAGGATCCGACACACGATGCAACCCAAGAGGATATGATGCCGCCAAACCTGCCATGTAATCCGCCGCAAAATTAGCTTCCTTATGCACATGGTTGAGTCTCACACTCCAACTATACTGCAACATGTTACGGATAACCCGCACTGTTACTGTATTTGCTCCAAAATCGTCACCATCACCAAGCACCATATTCTTTACACATTGGCTATGCATGTGTGTGAATGTATACAAACGTATTGACCAAAACGCTCATCTACATGCAACCCAATTAATTGGCGCCCAATCTCCTAAATTAGAGATAACAACTGTAAACCTCTCACACACGTGTGCAATAATTTAGTTTAGAATAATGAATTAGTAATGAGGACTCTCACTTGATCCAATAATTTTAACAAAAATAAAAGAGCCTATCAAATTATTTAGATTTATTAGCTGACTATATGTAGCTTTAAGTCAATGCTTTATACAAATCTTGCTTTCTTAAGCTCAAAGGAAAACTTCCAACTTTCTTTCCCCTTTTCATGAAAGAAATTACGCAAAATTGCATATAAAAACATTACCTTTCATGTTTTTGTATTTTAATCATGACTTTTGCATATTAGTAATTAAGTACATGACATTTTATCCCTTAGCAATTCGAGTCACGCATTTCATCTCCGGCACCAATAAAGATGACGTGGCTTGTTGGAATACACATGTGGAATTAAAAAAAAAACGAAAAAAATAAAATCCACGTTGCCCAGTCTTTTTTTGATACATGGACTTAAAAAGTAGTTAAAAAATAAATTCAGTCCATGTCCCCCGATCCCAAATCCCAATATAAGTCGTCCGTCCGTTCACAAATTGAACCCTAACTTTGTTCTTCAATTTATGTGAAGATGACAAAATTTCTATAAGAATGGCAAAGTTTTTGTCAATAAGATATCTTTAATTTTTGTAAACTTTCTCTACAGCCCTGAATTTTCGCAATTTGTCCTGAAAATGTCGAGTGGATCTAGCAGTCGAACCACAATTCTTCATCCTCACATGTGTTTTCCTGGATTGCAAGCGGAATGCTGACTTCGAACACAGATAAAAATCCAACTTGGAGGTATCATCGTTGTGTTTTGAGAAATGTAAGAACTTTTATTTTTTAAAAAATTAATTCTTTCATTGTTCAAATTTGTACATCAAATCACAGATTGAGATTCCTTAATAATGCATACAGATGATTGCAAATATTTTGAGTGGCATGATGTTGATTTGCCATCATTTCAGAAGGCTTGCTTTTGGAAAACGAGGCTCAAAAGAACTTGCTAGAAGAGCAATTGAAATGTAAAAGTATCTCTGAAATTCTTCTGTCTAAGAGGCTAGAGATCAAGGAAAATGAGTTGCATAACAAAATTCAAGAGTTGGAGCAGAATGTGCATAACCATTGTAGGAGACTGAAGTTTGAGAGAAATTTCTTTATGTTATTTCTGTTTGTGCTATTTGTATTTATGTTCATTGTTAGATTAGACTCTGGTAAATGTCAATTAATGCTGAAGTAGATTTTTGTTTTATAGGAGACTTTGAAACATTATAGCTTTTGTGTGATTTGTGTTTGAAAACTTGAAAATTTAGTTGTGTGATTTGTGTTTATAAAGACATGGTCAACTTTAATGTTATGTGAGATTTTGTGTGTTCTATAAAGACATGAGCTGCTCAATATGCTTCTTTAAACATAACCAATATCATTAATAAAAGCCCTGAAACCATGCAATTCAAATACACAAGAACAACTAAGACCAACTCCAACGTGACTCTATCTCTCAAAAGTTACGCTATTTTAACGTTAAAAAATGGTCCAGCGCTGCGCCAGAATTTTGCGCCAGATGAAAGTTGTGAAAAGTATTGCGCCATATGTGTCGCAACACTGTAGCACAACGCTACATTATTTTTTTTTTTGTTTTTTTGTATAATATTATTGGCAAAATTTTTGTATAATGTGTATTAGTAAATGTATTTTTTATGCTAAATAACTTTGTGCAATGTATTTTTTATGCTAAATAATTTTGTGTTTTTTTATCGATGTATTATAATTTTATTTTGTAAATTTTTCATATTAAAATGGTACCATATCAATAAAATTTAATACAAACAAGTAGATTTCATTAATACCCTTCATTCAGATTTGTGTAGTCGGTCCTATATTTTGGCGCATCTACCACACTCTGATGCTGACTTTTTCGTCGGGACTCTCCCCGGACCAAGATCTGTCATTTTTGTATTTCTTGCTGCAGATGGCAGCTGCTACTTGTATCTTTTTCTTGTTTCTGTATTTTCTTCTTATTTTTGTTATTTGTGCTTTTCTTTTGACTTGATGTATATCAGACATTGGACTTGTAAGTTTGTGATTTTTCAGCCCAATTAGGGCAATATAATGTACAGATTGAGGGTTCGGCCTTAACTCCCCACCATCCTGGGGTGCTGTTTAAAAAAAAAAGTAGATTTCATTAAAATTAAAAGTTTACAACAAACGTAAATCATAAAATACACAAATAATATATTTATATAAGATTAAATATGCATATATATATATATATATACTAATTTATTTGAAATTAAAATGAATAAAAAAAATAATATATTTGATGTAGAGTAAAATGTAGAAATAAGGGCTGAAGAACAATGTTCGACTCTACTCTAGATTAGAGTAAAGTCCGCGCTAGAGTAGAGATAAGGGCTAGAGATGGCCAAATAAGATTCCTTGGCATAAACGTAAGCAACAACATTATTAAAGGTCTTGAAACAATGCCATTCAAACACACAATATTCATTGGCTTAAACACAAGCAATAACACTAATAAAGGCCCTGAAACCACTAAATTCCCAAAAGAGCAAATTCTTGTTTGACACTTCAAATGTAATTCCTTACAACTGAATTCCACAAAAGATAGCACCTAAACAAATGGTGCAATACAATATTCATGGTCTTGATGGCTTATCTAGGTACATTGCACTTCCAAAATCAAGAGA